CCATTATATACAGGTTTGACTGTATTTATAGTGAAGGTCACTACAGTTGGACCTTGCTAATTCAAACTCTCTGTTGAAATGAAAAATAGTTCAAAATAGCAGGAGTTTAAAATAGCTGATAGTAAATTACTGAAGGGTAAATCCAAGGGGAATGATTTTGAGTCTGAAATAATGGGGAATTCCAAATAGCTGAGTTCAAATTAGTGGAATCCAACGGTATATTAAATTTTGTAAACCAGACATATCAGTCTGAAAATTTCAAGTCAAAAACAAAACAATTTAAAACAAATCCAAAATGAGTTGATGATAAAGTAAAATATATGAATTTACTGGTTATGTTCTCAACTTGTAGATTCTTCCAAAGTGTTTAGCAGTTCCCTGGGTGGCAGTGTCGAACCACTTAGGTAAGTAAAAATTACCTCAGAACTAGCAATTTCACATTTTTTGTTGATTAATGGAGGTTGGATTCCTGTAACATCCCTGGCCACAGTTGTTCAAAGGTTGGATAATGCTATTCATCAGATACATTTTTTGTCCATTGGGTATTAAATGCTGCTATAGAAAACCATGCTATTGACTGAAAAGTGTGTGGCACAATTTTTTTTTTGCAAGGTTTAATTTGGTGGATCAGCGAATTTTTGTATTTTTCGGGAACTAATTTTTGAAGTTCTAAAGGACTGGTTCCTCTTGGTGGTTAATAATTTCTGCAATTTCCAGGAAGACATTTTCATTATGTTATTGAACTACATGCAATCGACAAGTGAAAGAACATCAGGAATCTTTGAATCTCTTACATTTAAAACTTGCCCTAGAGTAACTGATTGCTCTTGCAGTGGATCAGCAATGACTACGGTACCACTTGATGCATTATCGCATCTGTAGTATACTGAGTGGAATTTCATCGTTTTATTTCTAAACGTTTTGTTTTGTTTTTGACCAATAGAGACATTTGAAATAAATGGCACCAACAAGCTAAGATTCTACTTGAGATTTTTGTGTGTATAATTTCAGCAGTGGATTACATTTTTGCAGAGAAAATTTTTCAGCGAACTTTTTTTCAGGAACTTTCTCCAAAAATCCCAAAGCTCACAGAAAATTAGAACCTACAAAACTTTTGTGCCACACAGTAGCAATTTACATGTATCCAGTGGAGAGCTAATCCATTTTGAACAACGAGGGCCAGGAATTCCTACTCCTCCCAGGTAGTTCCCAGATGGAGTGCTCCTTACCCCATGACTGGCAGGTCCTCGTATTTAACTCAGCCAGGAGACCTCTGCATCCTGTAAAACAGACACCCTTCATATTAACAAGATGCTGGAAAAAGAAGGAGCGAGAATAAATAATGCTCAAGTCTCCTATGGCTAGGAAACTTAAAAACACTAGCCAAAACCTTTTCTTACAAACAATGTCAAGTATCTTGCTCTCAATACTGAATTTTTCAACTGGTGCCCATGTTGCAACACTTGATTTTGCGTTAGTAGATTTTACATAGAGCTCTATGCTTGTACTCGATCTCATTGCCAGATGTTATGTTACCTGGCATCAATTCAGTCTCGCTAATACAGAAACATTAAGTCACTCCCCTTAGATTTTATTCTATCTTGGTTCAAAATTTGTTATACTCCTTAACTTAAATTTCTGTAAGTATGTAGTGCACTACTGTTGTACTTTACTGTAATATTTGCACTTCTTTGAACTTGCCCCTACGTGATATACAGTTTATTTATATCCACAATTGATGTGTGATATAACTATGCTTACTCAAATTTTATGAAACTTTTTCAATTTAATGACAAAAAATTCTTGCATTAGATACATATTGTGGAGGCGCAATGGCCTCAGCCCGGTTATGGTAATAATAGTAATCAACTTTATTTACTGAGGGTAGCACACAACAGTAGTCACTGAAAAACCAGTGGCCCTCATATAAATAGTTACAGAATAAAAAGATGATGTGTTAAAAATTAAAACATATAGAAAGATTCACAAATATGCAACGATGATATATGGTTAGTGTGCTCGCCTCCAGATTGAACGGTTGAGGCTCAAGCCCTAGCTAGGGACATTGGGTTGTGTTCTTTGGCAAGATGCATAATTACTCTCACAGTACATCTCTCCATGGCCATGCACTGTGGTGCATAAATGGGTACCGGCAGATTTAATGCAAGGGTAGCATGGCAACAGACTTGCATCCTATCCAGGGGGGAGTAGAAATACTCCTAGTTGCTCTGTGCAACTAAAACCGGCAATAAGCACTGGCTTGATCGGCTACTTGGCTTGTATGCACACTTTACCTTTTTTACATTCCTTGGTTTGGCAGCTCAGTTAACTAGCATTTTTCCAACCCTAGATATCCCTCCAGTAATAACACACTGCAGTTATGCCCTTTACAACTGGCGATACATCGACCCCAACCGGTAAGCTGCCTCATAATTTCATGAAACATTTAATTCAAATATGGAGTATTTTTAAAATAATTACCGATAGAATAACATATTAAGTGTTAAGAGTTAAGAGTTTTTTTAAAAAATGCTGTTAGCACTGTAAGTGCAACTGTTTTATTGGTAGGTTTAAAATATACATTGGAAAAAAAAGTTCTAAGAAAATACACGTGCTAATTGGTTAAAAATCGTGTTTCTATAACTCAGTAGAAACACAGAACTAGCACGAGCTGTTGACATTATGATGGTACGACCAAAGAGAATTTACATTTTGATAACCAAAGTTAACGAGCTGTTTTCCCTTTTTTCATTGTGGTGTTCTCTAAAAGAAATAGAAAACATGTTCTTGGTGTTTCGATCAAGTTTTAGTATAAATCTACTAGCGTTCTATCATGAATGCCATCCTCTGATTGGCTATGGTACTCATGTTCTATTCTGTGATAGATAGTGAGTAGCGTAGCAGTGTGCACTGGGGGCTGCTTCTTTGTGTTTTCGAAGTGTCTGTGAAGAGGATTTAGATGAAAGTTTTGAACAACTAGTAGATTTATACTAAAAGAATTAGATTATTTGCTCAGGATTCTTATGCATGACAATTCACTCGGGCTGCACCTCGTCAACTATCATGCGATAGCAATCTCGTGGTCATAATCTAATTGTTTAATAGAAACACTTGTGATAGTTTGGGAGAACTCGAAAAGGCTGCACAGCATTTCTCGTTCTCCCAAACTTCCACTCGTGTTTCTATAACTCAACAGAAACACGGTACATGTTTTCTATTTCTTAAATATTGACTATTAGCCATTGAAGTGCAGGGTTAAGTGACTTAGGCAAGTGAAAGTACAATTATTTAATGTATTATTGATTAGAATCTAGTCATGACTACAGTGAGCATACCAGTTCTCACTGTAACAATTTTTCTAGCAAGCAGCAAAAACCTCTATCCAGTCAACGTTAAGTTGTCAATGAATGTACTGTGATCAAAGGCAAAATGTAAGATGTTGGTGAGATAATCAAAACCCATTATGATGGGACCAAGTATTTGCAAATTATGCAGTTGCAAGTTGGAGTTGTGAGTTTCAAGTTGCAAGATGTGAGTTTCAAGTTGCAAGTTGTGATTTCTGAATAGCAGGTCGGTGGTTAGAGATGCAAGTTCCCCCTTCTTGGTCCAAAGTAAAACTCAGTGTATCACTTTCTTTATGATATACTAACAACCCTATAATGCAAGTAGGTTTTGGCAGCCTAACTGTGGCCTGATTAACAGGTTTCATCTGTATTTCAACCTTTTCATACTTCAGGCCCATTTGCTACTTTCAGTTCAAATTTTTGTATTATAAACAGGAAAATGAACTTTAATAGGTATAGGTCAAATCTAGACTCTCTTTTTAAAATTACTTATGAATACAGAATCAATATAGAAAGCTGGACTTCAGGCCTTGATATGCAATGATTTTTGATGAAAGGAAAAGTTAAAATAATGAAATTTTATCGTCTACTAATGAGTGGTTTGTTTCTGTTTCTATTTCAAATTTATTGTCATGCTTAATGACTGGAGACCTCGTAATATGGAGTAAGTTAAACTTTTTTTTTGAAGTGCTAATTAATTTCTATTTCTCTGAGTGGCTACAGAAATTCAATTATGTAGCACTCGTAACTTAATTATTGCACAAGTTATGTATGTATACCGATATTTATGTTGTGGGTCTTTTACGTATTCTATTCATGAAAGGTGCACTTTTTTCCAATCAGACCTGCCAAGATTAGCTTAGCAATTTGCCAGTCCAGTCAGCTTGATAATTTCTCTGCTGCATAATTATTCAAGTCTTTTTTTTTTGTCTGAAATTTTATATAGATGCATGTAAACAAGTTTTATTGGTTGCTTCTGTATCATGCATTTCAGAAGTATGTGTACCAATCTAGCAGCAATACCTAACATTAGTGTACAGGTCTGTCATAGGCTGTTACCTTTTCTGTTGTTTTTCAGCAACTTAGAAATTTCTGTTAAAATGACGGGATCATGGACTGAGGATGGATTTGTAAAAGTTCCACTTCAAGTGGAGTTAGATTTTGGGAAAGGATATCATGTAAGGCTTTGGCACTGTGTTTGTAATAAATATCCGAATTTTAACTGGAGCCTGGCAGATGGCCATATATCTCATTACTTTGGCCTTTATTTCTGTATGTACATTTAAGAAAGTTCTTCCATTAAATGAGGAAAATTCAAAGCACTAACTCGGGGTTGTCAAAAGTAGCCAGCTTCGGTTGCCTTGATATGCTTTTTTTGTCATTACTCTAACTTATGGTGGCTCAAAACAGTCTCCATTGCTCTTTCCAAGAGTTAGATTTTGATGGGTCATCATAACCACTTTTTATCAATTGATGCTATAATCATGGTGTCAAAACACTGCTCAATCATTGGTGAACACATTGTTATCATTCTCGTGACACAATAGGTTACCATAGCAACAGTATGACCTGCTAAAAACACCCTTAATTATAGTTTTTAATTAGGGGTTTTAATTCAAAAACAGTACAGTGAAATTTTTTATATTATCAAATTTTGATTAGCAGGATGAGATGCAACTTTCAGCAAAGTTTAAAAAAAGTCTGTACATAGGGTTCACAGTCACCTTGAGTTTTCAAAACTTTAAGGTGGCTCTGAACCCCATGTATAAAAATTTCACCATGCCACTTTTGAATTATAAGCCTTTAAACCTATAATAAAGGGTGTATTTTAGAAACATACACTTGTCTAAACACCAAGTCTTGGAAAGTGCTGGTAAATGTTTTGAGCCACCTTAATAGAGTAGAATTTCCTCTAAGTGAGCCACCAACCTGTAGCAGTGATATAGCTCTCTCTTTAATTAATTTGTTGCAACCTTGTACTGATCTATATTTTGTGTTGTTTCAGCAAAAATCCATACCCCTCCCACAGAGGGATTTTTTGGTTTGAATCCCCCTC